AAATAAATTCAAATAAAATAAATTCAAATGTAATAATTCAAAAGAAATGAATTCAAATGAAATAATCATTCCCTTCAAAGTTTTCTTGCTTATTTTGAAGTAAATTTGACAATAAATAAGATAATTGAAAGAAATTTTTTAGCCTATTATTGCTGTGCATTAATACATATTTAAACAAAATCTATGTTATATTCGCTAACATCAATTTTCAGTTCATAAAAAATAAATTCAAATAAATTCAAATTTAGATATATTAATACTCACAGATAAAGCGCAAGAACAAGAAGAGTACTTACCGTAAGTACTTAGTAAGCAAAGAAATACAGAACATAATAACTATCTATAGACGAAAATTGTTATGATACTTGATATGATAATTGTTATGATACTTGATATGATACAATATTCTTTTAATTAATCTAATTCTTCAATAAAAATTAAAATAAAATAATGCAGAGCAAATGATAAAAACTTATTACCATGCGATATTTCTTCTCTAATTATGACCGATTTAATAATCATATAAGTCTTGATCATCAAATCAAGGATTACCATCACAAATACAATATTATGGCATATATTCTATATATATATATATATTTATTATCACAGTATATCAAACATTTTAAGATCAAAAACATGTATTTTTTGTGGCTGCTTTTTATTTTGATATTGTAAAAATCTCAACAAATCCAGGCGAAGGTCACAACCTTTAGAAATGTCATTTATTACGGTTTATTCAAACCATAACAAAGGTTAGTTTAATTTTCAAATATTTGAATTTAATCTTAACTTATGCATTTAAAATAATTTACGCTAAATAATTTTATAATCCTGAAAAGATTTGGTGACATCTTCTTCAGATGAAATTATTTTACTAAACTATTCAAAATAATCAAAAGTTTATTTTTCGTAAGATTGAATTCTTGCTTTTATATTAATATATCTTGTAAACAGATCGCGCAAAAATAAAAAATATAAGTGACGTAAGGGAAAGAGCGCATTTCAAGACTTATTATTTGCAAAGTACGCACAAGCAGTCTAATTTATACCTAAGATAGCACGAAGTAAATGCTCAAAACAAACAAGTTTGAGTTGATCAAAAATCAGCCTAGATAAAACACTTCCAAAATCAACAATATTTCTATTATTTTTAATCTTTTAAGCACTCTTTTTCAACGCAAGTGAAAATTTATTATCGATGAAAATCAGCCAAAAGCGTATTTTCGTTTCCCAACAGAAAGCTTTTATGCGCAAAGTGAAATTTTTAATTTCTTACGTCAACTTCAAATATTAAAGTTACTTAATATATCCAATGAAAAAGCAGACTTTGAAGAAATTATTCAAAGACTATTATTAAAATTATAGCAGTATTAAATAAATATTTTATTGTTCTGATATATTGAAGTGAATACATCATTTAGATCATACTGAACTATTAATTCATATATTTTTTAATCACAAGTTGGCTATTATCAAATGGATAAAAAATTCCGGCCCATGAAAATTTCAATAATTTAGAAATATTTTACAAAAATTTCGAGAGTGAAAAATTATTGTAATTTTGCATAAAATATATCATAACTTGCACAAATATTATCATAGTTATATCTTGATAACTTAATTATAGAATACTGTATTTCACTATAAAATTACTACAAATTCTTCAAATGAGTAAAATCAAAATGGAGCAAAAAGTCCAAAAAAAGCTTAGAATTACAAATGATTCCAAGTGTAATTGTAATAGTAATACTTAAAAAAAAGTATCGAAAATAAAAAGCTGATAAAAAACTAGCTTTCTCATCCGGTACTTCATCAGCAACTGATTCTTTAGCTGGTTCATTATTGCTACTCGATTCATCACTACTTGAAACTGCTTTTGAATCCGAAAATAAAGTTTCAATCTTTGTAAAATCAAACGTGTTTGGCTTTTTTCCTGCTACAGATGACGCTAGCTGCACTGATTCAGTATGCTTTTCATATTTTTTCATTTCAATGCATCTGAAATGAATATACCTCATTTATCACTATTATTACTCAATTACGATTTATGCATAAATATGATCAAAATCAGTCCTGAAAATATCAAATCGATTTATTAAAAAAATGTTATTGAATTACTTCTATCTCAGCTTATATCAGTAACTATTTTGATTACATTCCTTGAGTAATTATGAAGAAAGTCGATTGAATACTTAAATAACTGATTGCAGTGGGAAAGTAAGCAGTGAAGAAATAGGAAATGTAAATATTATTACTATTTGTATTATCATTTTTACAAAATGAATTAAGATATTTTAGCATTACAAGAAGTTATTGCCTAATAAATACTGAAGCAAATGATTAAAATTGCTATTAAACAAAAGTAATAATAGGAATAATTTAATTTTAGAACTGCAAAAAAGTTTTCGTTTCCAGCAATAATAGAAAAAATTAAAGTATTTATATCGTATAAATGACGCAGTGGATATAATAAAAGTGCGATAACTTCGATAATAATAGAAAGTATGCCTAGCCAAAAAATTGATAGCAAGTATTTTTAAAGTTAGCATCAACATGCTGACTAACTAACTAACTAAGTGACTAACTTACTGACTAAGTGACTAACTAGCTAACTAACTAACTAGTAAAGTAACTGGCTAACTGACTAACTAAGTAACTAGTAAAATAACAGACTATCTAACTAACTAACTAACTAACCAGCAAAGTAACTGACCAAGTAACTGAAGAACTTATTAACTATCTGACTCACTCTAGAGTGCCATTTTAATGCTTTAATATTTGAGTAGCAATATTAATTTCGATTATTAACTCATTTATTTACAGACGTTTACTGCAAACAAATTTATATGCAGAAAGGTAAAATTTTTGTCTTGTTTGATAAAATTGATGAAAAAAGTCACTTATACCAATATGATAAGAGATGCAATGTAGAATAAATTAATGTTATAAGTCTCTATATTTTATAAATTATATATATAGTATATAAATTCCTTATGCTTTAAGTACAAGGAGAAGTTACAAAGTTAAGTAAGAAACGATCGTGTTTCTGTATTCGCATAGCTGCTTCAGTCTGAACAAATTTGAGAATTCATATTTGAATATCGAACTTTATAACTTTGAATGATAGAAGCAAAGCACATGCAAATTCGCAAGTTGTGCCGGATTAGCTTGCGATATTTTTGTTTCAAACTACTACTCTTGAAGTGAGATCTTAATTGAATTTTACCCTTAGAATTGAAATATTTTGTTATTCTGTCGCTTCACTTTGAAAATATTACTAAAAAGTTTTTAGTAATAGTCGATGAAATGTTAGCACCTTGTAGAATCAAGTACTGCTTGAGGTTTCTCGAGAATGGAAGTTGTGGTACAGGTAGACAATACTTCAGATTCACTACATAATTCCGAGTCCTGATCAATATTCTCTTCAAAAATCAGATATTTCTTGTTCATTTGCGCTGAGCCATCTTTATCCTTCTCTGTCTCTTCTTGTAAAGCTAGCAAATTTGCATGAATATCATCAGTAGTTGCTGTAATTGTATTCATAGCTGCAATCATATTTCTTGCCTAACTAAAATCAAAAATTTATATAAACGGTATTTAAATAACTTAATTATTTCAACGGTAGAAGTAAATTAATTAATTATTAAACACTTGAGTAATTATGATCAAGCTTTTATTAATTAAAAAAATCCTAAGGATTAGCTTGAAATTTTGAAAACACAATAAGAGCAATCATTTTAATTCTTGTTGCTATAATTATTTTACTGAATAATTGATACATTACGTCCATTGAAAGTAAAAAATAAAAATAGAAACTTTAGCATATAATAATAAATATTATCAGCATATTTCTCTTTTTCTCCTACAAATAATAATAACAATAATAATAATAATAATAAATAATAAGTAATAATAATAATAGTTGTTTTGTTAATTCATTCCCCTTACTAGTCACTTCATCAATATTCATTTCTAACAGTAATCCTCAGATTATTCGACATGATAGACAACGAAAGCAAGCAAATTTAAATCCAAAATCAGTTCTACTTACTTATTAATCTATAATAAAAATAGTAATAACAACAATAATAATGCATGAAAGCAAAAAATAATAATAATAGTAACGATAATAATAAATAAATAAGAACAAAAAATAATGCTGATAATAATAATGACAATGATAAAAATAATGAAAGCACTTCATGAATTTGGATCTAACAAAAATCCTGGTAC